TTTTATACACCTTCCCATTCCTAGACAACTTTAACAGCAGATCATAAATATAAGAGCCAAGATGGCGTGGCCTTTAGTTTTGTCTTAGTCTCCTTTGGCTATGTACTGTCGATGTGACCTATTTTTCGCAATGTGATCGGCGCAACAAGAAGATAAATGGATTGATATATGTACTGAAATAGTTAATATCCTCTATAATCAAACGAGTAAATCCCTCTACATCTTAAATGTATTGTTTAATTTAATGTCTGTTAACAGTAGACTAAAAGTAATACTTGTTCTTTTTTTGTTCTAGTGGTAATTATATGGGCCAGATACCATACGTGATAAAGATTTATTAAATTTCATAAATAAACTTTTCTATACCAAAAGTTACTTTTTTAATTGGCACTGAAAGACTAAAGGTCTGAGCAAATCTGAAGCGTTACTCAATAATACGACAGTAATAAGCAAGTGAGGCTGTTAGATAATAGACAAAAAGAGATGATTTCAGCTTATTTATATGATGACTAAGGCTTAGAGGAGAGGCTTAGTTATTTTCACACAATTATCATTATCATTTGTAATGTTTTGCAAATTATTTTTAATTTTTGGCTTTCTAGTTCAGGAAAAATGCTGCTAGCTGAATGCTACCTTAATTAATATATTAGACGTCAAGATCCCACTAACGTTTACCTAAGCCAAACTTCAAAAAGATATTCTTTTCCTGGGCGGACTGCAGATTCGACCTCATCTGGGTCTCATCAGCATCCACAATTTCTAAGAACCTGGCTACTGCAGCGTACATCTTCAACATGTTAGCAATACACTCCACTGTGGCATCGATGTTAGTAGGTCACAGAGTAGCGGTTACATTCAGGGCAGGCCAGGCCCGACCTCTCCCATAGGATTTTATGACAAAAGTGTAGTTAAGACAGATCTGAATAGAAATACACGATGTAAAAATTATATTAAATAAATACATCATATTAGCAGCACGAGTTATCAACCAAAGCCTGAGCAGACTTGGAGATTCAACGAAGACCACAACAAGAAGACACTTGGATTCAGGACGGCGGTTCAACAACAGGAAGAGACATCACCAAGATGCGGCTCATGAGGAAAAGGGCAAGTTAAGAAAAGGTGACTGGGATGAGAGGAATCAAGCGTGGAATTGGCCAAAATTAACCCATGCCTTTCACCTGTAAGATGTAGGATATAAAAGTAAAGACTAAAGGTATAGGTGGGGCAGATAGAGGTCACCGGTGTGTGTGTGTAGGTGTTGTGCGTATTTTCGTATGTGTCTGAAGGGGAGATGACTGGTGATCGGCCTTGGTGACTGGTGACAGGCTTGGCAAGTGGGGACACCAACCAATACACACATAGGAACATCATCCCAGTACCCTATGATTAGATGGGAATGTCAACTCGAGAGACTATAGGAGTGTGTTTTTTACCATTTAAAGGAAAGAAGGGAAGCAATGCATTCTCATACCAGCGGTTACGACTTAAGCTGGACACAGGGCCCCAAATAATGAGACACGATGTGGGTGGGGGATGAAGAAGAGGATAATTAAGTCATGGGCTTGGAGCCTACGAAGAGGAAGACTCCCAGGCACTGACATGTGCATGGGCATCGCCTGCTCTAAATCCTAAAGTATGGCGTAATCGCGGACGGGAATTGAAGGCTCTTAGGCAGCCAAATTTCAGACAGCCAAGCAGTGATTTTGATGATTAGCAGCGGCAAATTGACAAGCGGTTAGAAAAAAAGGGTGGGATAGGATGTAGGCCTGCAAATGGCATCTGGTACCGATGACGAAGATGATTACGCTTTGCTAAACCCACTTATAGCCACACACTCTAGGGCGACTCTCTTGGAGGAAATGAGAGCACAGAGTTGTGTGAATAACTGGATGGGCCATATAAGTGGGTTTGAGAGAAAGAAATGCAATACTAGAAGGTAGATCAAAAAATAGAGGCGAGTTGAACAGAAAATTGGTCAAGCGAGTTGTCTTCACTTGTCTCTGATAAGTTGTAACTCTGCCCTAACAATGACGCATCTCATTGACGATGCCTGCGAAATGTTTTGGAACGTATCAAGTCAATGGTTCGATGCTGGAAATCACGAATACTATGGCAGAGAACATGGGGCTGGGCATGTTCCACAAGGTCGCCCTGACGCTCCGACTAAGCTGTGAAAACAAGGTCTAACCAACACAGAAAAGAGAAAGTTTGCCGATTAGTTACAAAATACGAGGCGGATAAGCCTTTAGTAGACTTTCCTAAACTCTATTAAGAAAGTTCTACTGCAAATAGGGTAAGTTCACATGCTGAAATTATTAAACGTAGCTGACTTACGTGCATGATGCAATATTCTCACTAGCGTATTGCCTAGCTTCTTCACTCTTAGTTGGATTTTGTATAAAGTCGCAATTGTCAGTCACATTTGGGCTATTTACTGAAGCGAGGTATTCCATTTATCTAATTAAGGTAAAGTGATATAAGTTAATTTTAGGGATTGGATACAATGACTTAACATGTTGCTACATAAAATAAGAGTAAATGAGAGAGAGGGCATGCTTTGAATCTCACCGCGCAATCAGGTCTTGTTTACGATCCTCAGCAAATGAGGCTTAGCCTCAATCTCGTCAGCTTGTAAAGCTAGATTTGGACTGTAGATACACATTGTCAGCACGGAAACGGACTCCTCTAAAAGCCTCATGAAGACTACTTGATTTTATCCTACACCCGATATATATATATACTAAAAACGAATACATATATAAATATACAGATTTGCTTGATTTTATTAATGTTAGCCTAATTACTTGCATGCATACTTTGGTTTTCAATTAGTGTATTTTCACACATAGTTTAAATTAATAATTGTTATTTAGTAATTCATAGGCGATTTGTAGAATCAGTTTGTTGACTT